TTCCCTCTCTCTCTCCCTCCCTCCCTCCTTCCCTCTCTCTCTCCCTCCCTCCCTCCTTCCTTCCTTTTTTACTTGCTTTTTCTCCTTTCTTTCCTTTATCAGGCCTCAGGCAGGCAGTATCAACTGCTGTGTGTCCATGATTGCCATGCCATAAGCAGGACTCTTAGAACATATTTAGGGAAACAAAGGGTCAAACCCCTGCTGTTGCTGTGAGTCATGTGCAATGGTACACGTTACTTAATTTCTTTGTGTGTCAATTTCCCCTTCTGCAGAAATAGAACTAAACTAATGCCTACCTAAGCAAGTTATTGGAGAGAGTAAATGAAGGTATGGTAGATACACAAAGTTTTAAAAATACTTCTCTGATCATAAGTACCCAGGAAATGCTGAAAGCAGAGGGAAGAAGATTAGTGGCAGGATAATATTTTTAGAGCAACAATCTTATTCTTAGTGGTAATATATTAAGTAATATCAGTAACATGTTATTTATGAAACTAATTATAATGACAAAGACTCACTGACCATAGCTACATCTTGTTATGTCCAATTATAACTGCTTTCAGTTTTTAACAGCTGGCATTCATAGACAGCTTGGGCTGAGTACTCCCATCCACCCTGAATTACATAAAGGTCACACTCCATTTTTGTGAAAATTCCTGCCTTTAATGTACTTGTTTTCATAGATTTTTGGGTCAACACCCTGCCTGGTTCCCTTCTAGCCCAGAAAGTCTTCATCAGTACTTAAGGTAATTCAAAATATCACAAAACTGGTTCATTAACAGGCAGTGCATGTTGCTATCAGGCTGTTTGGTAATCTTATGGAGGCCCACATTGAAGATTTAGGCATCATTTTAGCTGGAAGAAAGTTATATGGGAAAGACAGTCCTAATATCCAACACTAAAAAATTAGTCTGTTGATGACATGATAAAAAAAAGATGGACTGTATTCCCAAATGCCATAGGAGTTCATCTAAGCTGAAGAGGACATTTGAACTATCATAGCACCCATCTAGTACCATGCATATTTTCTACCAGGAGCTTAAGAACAAATTTTAAAACAGCTACTATTTCAAAAACTAGATATCTATGACCACTTCTGTCTTCTCTCAGTTAACACAATTTGCATGTTCTATTGGGCTTAATTTTATAGTTCTGCTCTTTAGATGTGAAATATGAAGCCCACTATGGACAGGTGTCTCTTTTGATCTTTCTGTCCATGATCTATGGCAGATTAATTTCAGATTGTGAACTTTAAAATTCATTTGCATTACCTATGCACATCATATATATCCTTGCTTTCAAACTCTTTGCATCTAAGGGCCTGTCTGTCCTACATTAAAAAGAGAAAAGGTCTACATACTACCTTATAACACGAATGGCAAGAGAAACAAATATGAGTGTGGCCTAGCCAAACGCTACACAGAATTTTATAGCACATCAGTATTGGTAACTGTGTTTATTGATTTACTGGGTATATTCTCTGAATATTCAAAAGCACAAGATTGCAGTCTAGACATCTTTGTTGTTCATACAACACAAACAACACACCTGTGTGCAGTCCCCCTGTATGGGGAGTGGAAGAGCACAGTGTTGCTAAATACGAACGGCAAAGTGAGCTAAACCATCCCAAATCTCCTTGTTTATCCTCCCGCTTCCACACAACTCATCATTGGTTTCTCATGTGCTTTAAACACCAATGTGCACAGAGCGGAACTCTGGGAATTGTCATCTTCCTTTATTACAGGGTAACTGACTCTGTTCTTTCTTCAATCAGTAACTGTGATGGAAAAATGTTAGTGTCTGAATGAGTTGTTTCACTGACAGGCTGCCTTTTCTATGTATTTCATATTTCTAATCTGTTGTGTAAGATAGTCAAGGGTTTACTTCTGATTTTCTGATTTCTCTAGACACATCCGTAAGTCTACGCAGCAGCAGAGATCCTGGAGGTTTAGTGACTAGTATTATGCATATACCATGGACGCCCTGGAATCTTGACTGAACTACTACCCTTAACAAGATTTTCTGCATAATGTCTCAAGTTGATTTTTAAGCGGTACTATTGGTAACGCAATAACTTTTTGCCTTTTCAGATTATGCCCAAAACTTTGAATCCTCAGTGGAGGGAGCAGTTTGATTTTCATCTCTATGAAGAAAGAGGGGGAATCATCGACATCACTGCCTGGGACAAAGATGCTGGGAAAAGGGATGATTTTATTGGAAGGTTTGTGCAAATCGGTATTGTATTTGCCTGAGAGATGGCAGTTTTTTTTCTGAAAGAATATATTCTTTAAATCTAGTTGTCAACAGTTTTGAAAGAAGGAAACATTCCATTACAATGCCACTTAGCACTGAAAACAGATTCAAAGAATGGCCAGTAGGTGGCAGCTTTGCCTAGTTGATGGACAGGCTATTCCAATGTAATATCCAGAATTTTCTCCAGATGTCAGAGTTACTGTGCACAGAAGTTATGGGATTTGAAAAAGAGGAATTTAATCTGATATGGGATGCTTGGAGAACAAAGAACACGTTCAAGGATGGAAAGTGATCTCCAATAATGTTTGTTTTCACAATGCATATTGTAACCATAAAATGCATTATTTCCTACAACTCCCTACAAGCTTCCTCATAATCTCTTAGGAGTTCATAAATCTGGAAAGAGTTTCAGAATTTTAGAAAAGGAAGAACATAAGTGAGGCAGATCCATGTTAATCTGATAACACAGCAAAATGTGTTCAAAGGCTCGAAGGACATTTCTCTATTTGGGTCTACTACTTGAATGATCGGAATTGTGTTTTGATTAAAAAGCCTATTTTTATATTTTTGACAGTTACATATGTGCATTGTATCAAAATGTGTGAAAACTTGCCAACACAGAAAAAAATCACAGTGTATAGAAGAGTTTGTTATTTTAAAAAAATCTTTCTTCGATGTAGTTCACAGGAATTCCAAGTCATTGAATTTACAATCCAAAGAGAATTCATACATTCCCAGAGTAAAAGGAATTTTAGTCTAAAAGTAAAAACAGGAATCCAAACCGACATTCAAGGCTCTTCATTTTTATTTAAATGATTCTGACACATCTATTTAAGCAATAGCTTTCACCATATGCATGTAATATGGGAGATAAAGCTAAGTTTCAGTTAACCATTAATATCTGGCTTTGTAAATGAAGTTGGGGGAACACCACTGTTATCTAGGAATTGCATTATACTTTAATCTTTTTGAAAACAGGGGTCTCTGTTGGACTTTGCCCCTCAGAAAAAAATACTATTGTCAGAGTTCTCTGGAAGTCATTTTGTTTTTTGGTATCTACCACTAACTTAAGTCACAGCATGCATCTGCCAGTCTGAGAAGCAGTCCACCATGGCTGTGTATTCGACTACATCTCCCTCCTTAGGCTGTGATCTCTCTCAGGGAGTTAGACTCGAGCTCTTCTGAGGACACTTACTTATTATTCATAGTTTAAGCAACAGTTCCTGTCTGGGTAATCAGATAACCCAAGTGGAGCCTGCTCCTTCCTTACTTTAAATTCAAACTATCTGGAATGAAGGGGCTGTGCTCTAAAACCTGCCGGCCTCTGCTCGGGCTACTGTCAACGTGGAGGGTCAACAGGACTTGTCCATTTCCTGTTTTACTGCATAATGACAAACATCATTTAAGCATTGCTTCCTAAGGGAAACGATTTCCAACTTTGGATACTGTAAAATGTCACCGCCCAGTTTGTACAGGCTTTTCCCTTTTCCCCAGCGGAAAACATGTTGGGCAGAGGAGGGCACATCTGCCTTACTCCACCTTGCTTCTGGGCTTGTTATGGTTTGTTCAATGTTTATTTTCAACATTAGGCTACATATTCTTTTGAATGTATGTTTTGCGAATGTAAACTCAATAGTAAGGCTAGTCTGTTCATGATAAAAGCAAGGCTGACTATCAGTTAAAGAAACATGTTCAAATCTGGAATGATGAAGCATGAATATTTTAGCAGTGAAGAAATGCCTTCCTCTAGCCTCACTCAAACCCATGAAGTCAGGCTTCTGCCCCAGCTGTTTCCATCAGGCCACCTGCAAATCCCAAGTCATGTGACCCGCTGGCCACCTTGCCTCACTCAGCAGCACAGAGGGAACTGGCTGATGGCTTCCTTACTTTGAAACAGGGTTTTCACTTGGCTTCCAAGATGCCATCGCCCCTCCTATCCGGTGGTCTCCTGTGAACGTTTCCTCCCTCACGCTCTCACAGAACAGTTCTAGAGCCAACGCTTCGGATCTGAAACCTTCTCTCCTTCTCTGCCACCCCCGCCCCATGAGTTTACCCTTCCTGTACCACTCAGGACTGCCAACTGCCAGTGTTCTGGTCATTCTGATAACCCCCATCCCCATATCCAACTTACTACTTTACTACTGGAATAATTAACATGCTTCTTCTATTTAGACACTCCAGAGTTAAACTTCAGCCTCCTGGTCCCCGAAAGCTGGGTTTTCCCAGGTCTTTTGCTAACACCGAAAGTATCAGAGCCTCCTTCTTATTCTTTCTTTTTTCTCACTTTCATCAAATACACCAGCAGCCCACTCTTTCATCAAGGCTGCGGCCTAGATGACATGAAGATCTTCCATGAGACTTGCCTCTTAAAGAATCTACACACAGCAGAAGCATCAGCAATGGGAGGAGCCTTCAATGCATGGACCTTTGGAGGCTCCACATCACCTCTATGGCTGTAACACCAGCCTGGCTAACCACCTGCTTCCCTGTAGACCCTGGCCACAGCCAGTTCCTTCCACCTTTCTCTTCTTCTGACAGTCTATATAGTCACCAACACCATTTTTTTAAATTTAATAAAGCTTTTTTCCCCAAATGTGCAGTCATTTGAGCCTGTTCCAGCCTCTTTCTCAGCAGCTGGGGGACTCCACCCTTAGCATTTCCAATGTAAATCACTTGAACTCTATGGTCTTTACGAAGGGGCTGCTGAACCTTGGCTAACTGAACCTTCAGGATCTTGGAATCCGTAACTGAGACCACAGTCAGATGCTCCCTGGAAGTCTGTCAAGTGAATCATAGCTCGATGAGCCAGGCCACAGTTGCTGGGTTGGCCTCTGCATCCTGACCACTTTTTTTTTTGCTCCTGGACATCTGGGTCTTTTTCTTTCTCACCTGGCTTTCCGATATCTTTATCCTACTTGTTCTTAGCTGTTTTTTCAAGGCTCAGAGAGTGGCAGGGACCCGACAACTTCACTAAGACACTGGTTATAAGGATCATTTAAAACTGTATTTAATCTTTATGTGATAGGTGTCTGTGTTTGTGCATGTGCCATGGCACACGTGAAGGTCAAAGACCAGCACTGTGGGGTCTGTTCTCTCCTTCCTTCTTTGCCTGCATTCCAGGGATCGAACTAAGTCCCCAGGGACACAGCAAGCACCTTTATTTATCGAACCATCTCTGCAGTCCCAAGAGAAAAAAGCTAAAACATAAATAAAATAATTTAACTCCTCCACTCAAAACCCTTCACTTGTTTCCCATTAATGGTCTGGTAGAAGCAAAGTCCTTGCTGGGGACTACTGTGCTCTGCATGGCCCCACACCTCTGTGCTGAAATGCTATCGTGTTTCCTCCTCTGCCTTCTGCACAGAAGCTCTTCCCCATCGCACTGGACCCTGCACCATCTGTGGCTCCTTTCTTTACATCGTTTGCCTGCCTTGATTTTGTGCTTTCGTCGGCCTGCCTGGTAAAACCCTGTTTCCTTAGCATTCCCTTCCTCCCACCCCGCTGATATTTTACAGACACAGCCACCATTGGTATACTGTGTCCTCCTTACTGTGTTTGATTATCCATTTCACTGTCCTAGAACACAAATTCCATGACTGCAGGGACATTTGAATGTCTGTTTACTGTAGCATCCTCAGAAAGTATGTGACACACACACACACACACACACACACACACACACACACACACATATGCTCAATAAATATTCTTTAATTTGAAAGCAAACATTTGAAGCTTGATTTAATATTGGTAATTATGATTATTCATTTTTTTAAATAAAGAAGGATCTGATACCAGATGCTTATATATTATCAATATGACCATGATCTGGTGGAAGGCACAAACTTCAAATATAATTATGGAAAAATGTATGGATATTATACAAAGGAGAAAAACCAGTGAGTTAGAGTATAAAAGTGTCTGCATAATGCCTATGCTTAAAATACTAAACTAATATATTTAGGAGAAAAATTATTCTATATATTATTAAGATTATTTTACCACAACATTTTAATTGACATATAAAAGTGTACCTATTTTTAGGGTGTCATGTATATAAAGATATATCTTGTGTTATGTTGAAATCAAGGCAAGCATATATAAATCCTTAGGAGCTTACTGCTGGGAACATTTACAATCCTATCATGTAGATTATGCATGTAGACAGAATATTGTTACCTAAAGCCACACTCTTGGAGCACAGTACACCAGAACTGCATCTCATCCTGACCAGTCAGTGTTTCCTGAGCCTCTATCACTCTGTTCTTCCAAGACTTTTGATCCTCTAATCTACTTTTAACTTTTGTGAAGTCTGCCTTTTTAGACTCCATGTCAGTTAGATCAGGGCACTAATTATTTTTCTGTGCATGGATTATTTCACTAGGTGAAATGATCTCCTGTTCTGTCTGTATAGCCATAAATAAATACATTCCATGCTTCTTTACATTTTGGAAAGTCCTAGTATCAAAAACAGAATTTCATTATTTAATCAACAAATAATATTCTACTGTGAATATGAATTACATATCCTTTACCCATCAGTTGATGGATAGTAATGTTGTGTCCACTTCATGGATACTGTGAGCAATACTGCATTAAACAGAAAAGTAAAGAGTCTGAAGTATTTTTGTATTTTTTTTCTCAATTGTTTCATGGTTTTAGATCTGCTATTAAAGTCTTTCATCTATTTTGAATTGGTTTGTACACTTCGGGAGAGATCATGATCTGGTTTCTGCATGTGGATATCCAGTTTTCTTAAGACCAATCCTTGAAGAGTCTGCCTATGCTCTGCTCCATGTTTCTAGTGCATCTGCTGAACGTCCTTAGTTGTGGATATTTCGCTTTACCTCTAGGCTCTGAACTCCACTCCATTTGTCTAAGTGTCTTCATCAGCTCTGCGATATATTTTGAAGTCGGGTAGTATAATGAGTTCAGCTGTTTTTTTGCTTGAGAATGCTTGCTCTTTGT